AGATTCCTCAGAATACCAGAACACTGTATTTTGAAAAAGATACGTGAGTAACGACTCGACATCAAAGGTGCTAATAACGACCAGACCCAAAAGAAAATGCTACGCCATGACAAAATTGGACCATAACAAGTCCAATGAGTACCGAGTCGAAAAAGGATGACATCAAATAAGAACTAGAAACATCTAGCCCGAAAACGAAGGTATGTCAATAAAGATTGAACACGACCCACGAGGACCTACATGGAGATAGGGAATTCCCTTATGCAAGGGGCAAGAAGGGGACCTACTTACACGAAGTAAGGGATCAGAGGAGAAAACACATAAGACAAACTCACGATTCATGGATCGGAGGAGAATCAAATTGATATACTCGCGACTCAGAAGTCGGAGAAGAAACAAAATTAACATACTCGCGATTTCGGAATCAGAGAAGAAACAAATTGATAACCCGAGAGTTGAATGTATGCCAGGCCGAGGGAAGACATACAGATAGAAGAGACTAGTCGGAGGTAGACTCTTATCAAAGATAATGGAGATATATGTAAGGCCAGAGTTATACATATACAAGAAAGAGATCGACCGAAGAAGGCTCCAATAAGGAATGCTAACCGCAGATAGACTCCTGGAGAAAGAACACCAATTGAAGGCGAATTGGGGATAAAATATACGTGTCTGGTCAGAATTAGACACATATAAGAAAGAGACCGACCGAAGTAGACTCTTAAGAAAGGATGCCTGCACAAAGGCGAATCAACAAGGAGGCTAAGTCGAAGGTAGACTCCTAAGAAATTAACGTCGATCAAAGGCGAATTCCATAATGAAAAGAAGACTGGCCGAAAGTAGACTTTTAACAAGGATAATGGAGATATATGTCATGCCAGAGTTAGACATATACAAGAAAGAGATCGACTGAAGAAGGATTTAACAAAGAAAGACCAATCAAAGGAGAACTTGTTGGGGATACAAATAGACATTGCCTCTGAATGGAACATCGATTGAAGGCGAACTTACAAAGAAAAGAGATCAGCCGAAGGTGGATTTATGGGGTGCCAGCCGAAGGTGGACTTCAAGATAAGAACGCTGATCAAAGGCGAACTTACAGGGGATAAATATATACATGTCTTGTCAGAGTTAGACACACAAAAGTGAAATTGGACATCAAGAAACAAATGTTTGAAGTTGATAGCGAACACAAGAAGGAAACTAACGAAGAAAGCCCTAACAAGAAAGGATACATTCGCCTAACCAAGGATGCCAGACAACTGGACTTTGAAGAGACATTGAAGAACTCTTAATAGAGAAGGTTAGCTAAGCTAACAGAAGGAGAATCCGACTAGCACGGATACCAAAGGCAAGGAACTGACTAAGCAGAACCTTTAGAGAGCACCGATCAAAGGTGAACTCTGCAAGAGAAAGAGACCAACTGATGGGGACTCTAACAAGGATTGCCAAAATACGTTGGGCTTTTGATAGGTTGCAAACGCGCAAGAACTACAATATCCTTCAGGCCATAAGCGGGGTGTAATTCTTCAAGAGTGGCAATTTATCTGAATTACCACACACCAAGCATGGATACTCGAATACTTGAGAAATAAGAAAGGTTATACACTGACTCTCAATCGCACTCAGAAGGCAGAGCAAACACGGGTAAAAATAACCAAGGGCTTGCAAGGGCAAGGGAAAAACACAACTTGCTGGGGAAATGGAAAGCACCAAAGACCTGACTAGTGGTAAATCGAAACATATTCTGCTGGGGAAATAGAATAGGATGACCCTAAGCTTGCTATGGAGATAATTCAAATCTGAGCGCATAACAATTTGATTACTGCAGGTGGACATAATTGGCCTATACCTTAATGCATGTTTGAATTTTTTATAGCGTAATGCTTCATACAATGGAAATGCTACGCGTTTTGGTATATGCAATGTAATGATGCATGTTTAGCAATGCACTGGGAAAAGCACGTCAATAACCGGTTGTTGAGAAGATCAAGAACGTCCGAACGATTATTCTTGCACATCTCGTCTTCTGTAGAGAAGAATACCTATAAACTTCAATGGGGACACAAGATTCAGAACCATCGACCTTTGAAGATTAATATCACTGGGGAAGTAACTTCTTGAGGAAAATACTGCAAAAATAAATTGCGGTTCAAAGGAAATCTTGAACTCTGATCCAACTCTTAACTTTCTGGGAAACAGACCCAACATCTCTTTCCACGGATAATGAGAACATTGATGGGAACTGGGACCTTCTGATGCAAGTCCTCAATAAAAGTGACTTTGATTTGGGAATCGTAGAAATTCTTAAATAAAAGAGTTTTACCCAGACCTCACTGGGGATACTACCACTAGGGGTAACAATCTTCACTTAGGGAAGAGGAGGGGCATCTTTGAACCATAAGCTTGAGGTTCAGAACTCCATTGAGGAAATATTTCAGCAATACTCTATCACTGGGGATAAAAGAGCCCTAAACGGCATTCGTCTATGCACACCGCTCCAAAAAGACAGGAGACTTGCTCCACTGGGACATAATAAACATGCTGATCAAACATCTCTTCAAGAAAACCTGACAGGGGGAAAATTCCCAGGGGAGAAAAGATATGAACTTCATGGGGACGATGAACGACAACCTCACTAGGGAGATAAATACCTACCACGGTGACGCAGGGTATCAACTTCAAGGGGATATAACAAAGGTATTCAGTCCAATAAAACGATCCTTCCCAGATTCTTCAAAAAAAGTAGATTGCGCTGAAGAAGAAGATTGTACAAAATCCTAATGAAATGCACTTCTTTGGAGATAAGCCCTCTAGAAGGGACAAACTCTTAAACAAACTCTTATCAAGAGTGCCGACTTCAATGGGGATTATGCAGGGGTATGTTTTAACTAGAGATAAGGGATTTTGTATGGGCGGGAGTACGCCTTCACTAGGGATACATGATTCCGTCTTGAGCAGAAGTGAGCATTCACTGGGGAAATTGGATTCCATTCTACAGAAATCCTCATGTTGGTCGCATACAGACCCTTCTTCATTCATTTGTTGGTATGCTTCTTGTCATAAAAGACCAACAATACTTGCAACAGAAGAAATTATGGCAATATGCCCCATGTGTGGAATGGCAACCTCTGCTGAGGAATAAACAGTATGAACTACCGACCACTGGGTAAAAATTGTGATGCAAGATTGCAACTTCATCATGTCAATTCCGAGGAGGAACGCCACTGAAAAGTGGACTTTGGAGAGGATACTGCAAAAATAAATTGTAGTCCATTTAGAAGAAATCATCTTGACTTCAAATAACTCCTAAATTTTTGGGGAGAAGATCCATTCTCCTCCTGCAGAGAAATGGGGAATGCTTCGCTGGAGAATAAAGATCTCTGAAGAGAAACCCCTTAGCAGACAGACCTTTGTCAAGTAGCAACGGATCCTTTACTAGGGAAAGAAACTCCTTCTAGGAAACAACGTTTTCGACACGAACCTTGTATGGGTAACAACCTCACATGCTATTTGTGTTCCTGCTCATATTCTGCTGAGGATAATAATCCAAACTTCAATTGGAAATAATGATCCTGACTTCTGATGGAGGAACATCAATAAATGGACTTAAGTCCCTGATGAGCCAAGGATAATGATCCTGGCTTCTCAACATGCTTTTCAAATTCACAAATTGTTTAGCATGCGCTTGGACTTAATCTGATCAACTCATGAAGAGGAGAAAATGCCCTTACATAATTTCTTGCCCCAGTCTGTAGGACATTTGAAGAAAATTGCCTCAAGAGAACTTTCTGAGATTCGTACCAGCAAGATAAACAACCTCAGTGTTATAAACTTCAGATCACTTCCCCCTGATTGGCCAGAGTTGGAAGTGGTTTCAATCATACTTGAGTGAATGTCTATGTATCTTCAGATTCTGGAATGATTCTCCTCTGATCAACGGATTCTCGGAGAAATTTATCAAATCTCGACATAACTGTCCCAGTTTGAGTGTACTTTGGGGGATCAAATCCCAACTTGAGTGCCTTAGATTGACTAAACACTTACTCAACGGATTATTCAACATGCTTGCCCCTGTCTCAAATGTGTTTCTTGATTCAAATTTTCGACTATTTGACTAGAAATATATTGCGCTGACCTTAATCAAATAGTTTGATTTATGCATGTGTAAAACCAATTTAGCCCTCAACCCTAAAATACACAACTATATAAGGAGACTCAATTATGACAAAAATAAATAAATTAACAAGCAACAAAACATAGGTAAATCCTATGAGACAGATGCAACTTCATACACTATCAATAAAATAAAAAAAACTACTCCATCTGCATGCATGCCTCTTATGTGTAATTGCTTGCATGTTTAATGAATACATTACCTTTTCAAAACAATAATAATAATAATACTCCAACCAGCTAACTATATATTGAGTTTATTAATAACAGCTGCGATAGACTTTATAAATTTCATAATAGTTGGGATTTATTCAAATCTAAAATTCTTCCTTTGATAGACTTCATAAATTTCATAATTCTAATAAACATGGCATCATAACTAGTAAAGCATAGTGAGGGCAGAAGATCCACACAAATCACATGATACTGTTACTGCATGTCTTTTTCTGTTCCTCAAAGCAAACAAATTCTTGATCCCATCATTATTTTGCTTTCTAGCAATAGCCTTTGTATAAGGGTTAAAGTGAAATGGGTAAAAGAACAGGATATACTATGACAACCTAGCATAGATCTTGATTGAGATTCTACAATTTTAATGTGTGGGCCATTTCAATTTTCATGCAAATAAATACCAAAACCAATAATGCGAGCACCAAGCTTGGTCTACCCCACATGTGGACCACATGATGAAGAAGGTAAAGAATATCTTTTTTGGAATGATGAATCTAATAAATAGATATGCAAAGTTTGGTCAATCTGAAGATAATATTAAGATTTATCAAATTTAACTATCTGTTCTCAATTTTTGTCTCCAAGTGATTTTACTAAAGATAACCATCAATAACTTGATTGGATCCATTGCCTACAAATCCCAAAGCATCTCTTAAATTAAGTGTGTTTCTCATTGTTCTCCTTCCTATCCCTCCATTACCCTTTCTCATCATGGCAGCAAATTCTCCATAGTCTATTTGTCCATCCTGCACATCACAAAATTTTCACATTAATATCAGAGTCGCCGCAATTTAATGAACTAGTGTTCATTTTAAGAGAAAACTATTGCTTATATATCTCATTAGTGATGATTTATCATGTTATCAATAAATGAAAGACAAAAGATACTTACATTATCTTGATCAATTTCCTTGATCATTTCATCAATATGGATATCATCTAAACCAAAGTCCTTACAAGCTTGTGAAATCTCATCAATGGTTATGTAACCACTAGCATCTTTGTCAAAATAGGAGAAGGCTGACAACAAGTTTTCCTCTCTCTCCAGCTTATTTAAATGAACAGTTGCAGCAATGAATTCACCATAGTCAATTGTCCCGCTGTTATCAATATCCGCCTGTGACGTGCCCAAGATATTAAGATCTCATAGACAATGAAGATAATGAAATTAAGGGATTTTGGATGAAATACACATGTATCTCGCGTCTAAAGGCAATCATGTTTTTAAGGCCGGAAAAGCAACAAGGATATTACATTTCCTTGAGGATTTTTTTCTCAGGCAGAAGAGCTTGTCTGTATTAAAGAGTAGCCTTGTATACCTTCTCCTTATTTACAGATAGGACTATTCATAATTCAATAAAAATAACCAAACCATCAATGGTTCAGTTCAATAAAAAGATTAAGTACACTGGTTATGTGGTTCCAAACCAAACCAGTAGTACCTTTACATAAAAAATAAAAAAAACGAACTAGTTTAGTTCAGTTCGTGAAATGTAAGTCATGGTTTGGTTTATTTTGGTGCGGTTTGATTTTTTAGTTTTCTACAGTCCTACTTGTGAACCTAGCATGCTTTCACTAGGGCAACCCTGTTGGATTAAACTTAAGACTTGCATAAAAAAATGAATGATCATGCCGCAAAAAATACTTACAGCATCCATAAGATCCTGGATTTCAGACTCCATAAGTTCTGATCCTACTCGTTTTAAGCCATCTTTTAACTCATCAAATGTTATGGTGCCACTGCTGTCTGTGTCAATCATCTTGAATAACTCTTTCAGGCCACCAATTTCTTCCTCGGATAGCCGCTCCGCGATAACCTAGGATTAAGTGAGCAAAAAACTATAAATCCTGTGGTATTAAGATTTGCCATGTAGAAAAGTTCAAAATAGATCACTAATAATTTACAAAGTATAGATACATAATGATGCTTAAGGTTCAGGCCAAGGATGTGAGCAAAGCAACATTTCATCACTTTTGTTGATTTATGTTAATTTATTAGCAAACTTAGCATAGCAACAGCCACAAAATAATGCACAACTTTCATAAGAGAAAGTAAAGAAAATTCTTTCAAATTTATTCACATTTGTTTTCCGACCTTGGTATTCCATGCTTGAACAACAAAAATAACAGTTCAAGTTCCTTTAAAACTGAACCTGTGCAATTTCCAGTTGCCAAACTAAAACTGAACCTGTGCAAACCTTGTCTTTCAATTAAATTAAAATGGAGGAAGTAACAGAAAGACACACAGCTTAATATCAGGAGAAAAAATTTATTCACTTAATGCCGAGTGTATCAGCACAAAGAATTCTAGCCATAGCAGAAAGGGCCACAGAAACCTTACACGCAAAGCCATCTTTTTCAGTTTATTCATAGCTGAGAATTGCTTCAGACGTGATAAAACTGCAGAGTCAATAGGTTTATCAGGAGCAATGTTGTCATCAACAATCCATGGGTGACCTGACACAGAAGTACACTTTAGTGACATAACCTTGCAAGAATTTTGCAGATGTTAAAACTGATTTAAGTAATGATGCCGTAAACTCAATTAAGCTACTAGCCCAAAATAAAGTTTGAGAGACTTACGGAGTACTTCATGTGCTGTAAGCCTTGTTCTTGGATTTTGATCAAGCATTTTCCGAATTAGATCCTTTGCGCTGTCCGAAATGCTAGGCCAAGGCTCAGACTGAAAATCAAGTTTTCCTAGTAAAATCTGTCGGAAGATCCCCGGTTCAGTTTCTGAAAAAAAGACAATTTTTCATATCAGTATCAACGCCGAATGATGGGCATGAATAAAATAGGGATATGCTTACATCCTCGATTGATAATTTAACATATGAATAACAAATAGCTACCTGCCCAAAATGGTGGCACCCCACTTAATAAGATGTACAAAATAACCCCGGCACTCCAAACATCTGATTCAGGACCATATAGTTTGCGCAAGACCTCCGGTGCAACATAGTATGGGCTTCCAACAACATCAGAAAAAGATTCACCTGAAAATCATATCACTGGGTTAGGCAAACAGAAAAACACAGCATGGAAGTTTTTCCAGTTGACCTGTCAGCGAATGAAAGTTAGAAGTAAACAGGACTACATGACTTCTACTCAAACTTTTAATAGCCGTGAACACTACTTCTCTCTATCCATAATTTTCACCGAGATAAATCACTGGTTTTATAAAGCATAGACACTTATCCTCGAGGTAGGTAAGATCTATTTAAAGGGTTGACTTCTCCTAGCATATGTTTTTCCATATGCATCGCATCGACCAGGGATCGAACCCCTGACACCCGTGTCAAGTCAACTGTCAACCACAGTCCACAATGATGGAACTATAAGACTCCATTTAAACAAAGACAGTAACTTTTTCAACTATTCTACAAGTTTTCCAAGCAAAACAAACATAAATATCACACGGCAGTTTCAACAGTATACTTAGTAGCAATCAGATCAGAATGCCAAATAGTTAATGCGTTAAGCAACCAAAATAGCTGGAGCAGAAAGTGACTAAGTGCCCTTATCCCATTTGAGCACCCTTTACCATTTTGCCCCTTTAATATCACATCGCTTTCTAGCATCATCACCTCTGGCCTCCAATATAAAAGAAAATCATTTTATTCTCATCACTCAACCATGGCAATTGCTTTTCAATAACGAAATACATATATAACTAAAAACCTTATCTATTCACATGACACAAAATTCCAACACTGAATGAATTGGATTCCAATTTACAACCTAACAAAAATAGAGTAGATTCTACTTTTGGAACAAATATACAACATGCAATATCAATAAACTAACCTGAAAACACATCCATAAACTTAATGAATTTCCATTTACATATATACTCCTATCAAACACACCAATTATTGCTTTTAATTTTATCATTAAGCAAACAAAAGACGACCTCCATTCCAGGACGGAAACGAAAAAAAGAAAAAAAACAACACAAATTCACATGAAAAATACAATCAAGCACAACAAACAAGCAAGTCATGGATCCAGAGTAAAACAACACAAAACACCTCATGATCAAATAAAAAAATCCAAAACAAATATCACAGACTTAGTTTAAGCCACCAAACAATCCCTAAATTCCATCTACTAAACAAGGATCAAAACTTAAAATCAAATCAAAAGAGCATAGATTCTACCCAAAAACTTAAGCAAATGAAGCAGTTACTCACAACCAACAACATAATAATCAAACCCTTTGATGAAAAACAAAATTAAAACCAGTAAACCCTAATCAACCAAATTTATCAAAAAATAAAATAAAAATTGAATTGAACAAGAATCCATCTCCAATTAGATCAACAAACATTCAAATCACAACAAATACTAAATCCAGAACAAAAAAAAAGATCACCCACCAGGTTTATAAAAAACAGACAAACCAAAATCAGTAGCTTTAAGCTTAGCATCCTCCTCAACAGTATCAAACAAAAAATTCTCCGGTTTAAGATCCCTATGCATAACACCAAGCGAGTGACAAGCCTCAACAACCTCAACAATAGTCTTAATCAAAGTCGCAGCTTGTCTCTCACTATAATGACCCTTCTGAACAATCCTATCAAAAAGTTCACCTCCTTCACAAAGCTCCATAACAATATGAACAGCACTAGAATCCTCATAAGTCCCTTCGATTCTAACCACATGCGAATGCTCAGATAAATGATGCATTATCTGAATCTCTCGCCAAACATCCTCGTAATCCTCTTTGCAAAACAGCTTCCGTTTTGGGATTGACTTGCACGCGTACCTTCTGTTTGATGATTTGTGTGTGCAGAGATAGGTTGTGCCGAATTGACCTTGACCGAGCTTTCTACCCATTCGGTATATTTCTGTTATCCTTTCGGTTCTGTAGGGGAGAACCCATGCTACTGGCTTCAGTGTTATGGTTGGATTCTCTTTCGCCATTTCAACGATGAAGAGAGAAAGAGAAGAGAAAAAAACGTGAAATGATGAAAATAATTGAAGTTATTATTATTATTAATATTACAGAATGGGAAGCACGTTATGTCGGAGAGAAAAAGTGAGTGATTAAATTAAGGTGGTCGTGTTTTTCGGCATCCTATATTTTCTGTCACTTAGGATGTATAAAAATTATTTTAATCTGTGGGCTTGGTCTGACTCCTACTCATTCAACTTTTCAACTTTCAACTTGTTCTCATGGATTTACTTTTAAACTTGCATTTTATTTAGTCATCATGTAACAAAGAAAATTAATACTCATAAATACAAGTGGGGACCTCTTATCTAAATATAAATTCTGAGTGTACTTTTCTATTTTTTATAAAAATTTATGACTGTATAATTAATGTATTTATTTTGGATATAGATGTATTTAAATGTATTTAATATTATTTGATTATGTAGACTCCTTCTTTCTTAATCATGTTATTCTAAAAAGGTATCCTTTTTTAAAGATAGTTTTTACTTATGAGTACTTTGTAAAGATTCTAAATATAAAAATAAATAAAAATTTAAAATTAATTATTTTAAGTTTTAATACATTTAATATAAATATTTAGAAAAACATATTTTTTATTTTTTCAATTTTCAATATATTTAACAGAATTATTTCTAATAAAAACATACTTTTTTTTAACTTTTAACGAATGTCCCTAAACACTTGTTATATTTTCTTTTTCATAAATTAAATATAAAATATATTTAATTTCTCTTTCATAAGTAATTAATAAAAATTGTTTTTACTTCTTAACCTTATTAAAAAATACAAAAGGATATACTTTAAATTATTATGTTTTATTAATTATTATATTTTATTTTATAAAATTGATTGTGAAATTACTTTTTTTTAATCATAAGTTGGTATATATTAAGTATGTAATTAATATAGATTTTTCATATTTTAATACATTTAGTTTTCTTTAGTGCGTAATATAAAAGCTAAGATATTTATATAATAATTGTATTATTTTATGTTTTAATATGGTAGATGTCTTTAGTGATCAGAGATAGTGTACATATAAAGTTAACATTCTAACTCTCAAGTAAGTTAATGAGAGAGGTGGAACTTGCAAGTGTGACTATGAATAATACTGAATAATACATGGGTGTGACTCTGACCCACACTTATATAGTGATGGAGGTTAGAACCGTCATTGGTGGGCTTGACGTTAGATGTGGAGGGACTTTGGATAAGCATAATTAATTGAGATGGATGGGGCCCCTCTTCCTTGCGGTGCTTCGGGGTGGAGGTTCACTAGTTCACCAACTAATATAACACTTTGGTTGGATTGGGCATCTGGATTAGGCATTTAGATTGGGTCGGTCTTATTGGGCCTCCAACTAGCCCAAAACTGTTTCCCCTCAAATTCTTATTGTTGGTAATGAAGCGAGGAATATTATCGTGACAACTTTGAAACCGCTCAATTTTGGTGCTTCGTCGAGGAAGTAAGTTTATTGGGAAGTTGTTTCGAAAATAAAAATAGTTTCGTTAAGAATATGCTTCGAGAAGAAGAAAGGTTCTATTGAGAAGTTTAGTGGGAGTTGGTGGGATTAGCAATATGCGCATTTAATGTATGTTGTGTCATTGAAAATTTGCTTCGAGGGAGGTCACCATGTGACCTCACATGCCTAGGATAATGCACTTAGAACACTCAAGTGTTGTTACAAGATTGAGATTTCATCTTGACGATTGGTTGTGGATTTTTGTTCTCCTTTGATTCTCTTTTGTTAATCTTGGCGCTTATAATGCTTATAAATAGAGAAATTGACGTTGGACTCTTCTTTTTGAATTCTTTTGCTTTTGAATGCTACTAACAATTTTTTAGGTTTTAAACTCTTAATATTTGTTCTCCCGCCTTCCATTATTCACAATATGCAACTTTTTGGGCTCTTGACGCTTTATACTTCACTGCTTTCTCCTTCATTCTTCGAAATCTGCAACTTTTTGAGTTCCAATCTCTTTGAGCTTCATTGCTTAATTCTTCATAACTTATAAAATATTCAAGGTACTTATCTCCCATCACTTTATCTCCCTCCTTCATAGGACTTTCAATTATGCCAACTTAGGAAACCTAACTATTTCCTTCACCGACTTAGGTAGTGATAATGAGATTAGTGATGCGTGATCTCAAACCAAAGCAGAGGTAATAAACTCAGTAAGTTTAAAGGTGTCGTCCTTAGTGGTAAGAAATCCCATAGTGAGTATTATTGAGGTTAGAGAGCATGCCGAAGTGAGAAATCCATCTATGGTTACTACTATTGTGAGGGAAACTTCTCCCACTAGGTTGGACATTAGGGAGATTTCTCGAGAGTTTTTCTTCCATGGACTATAAATGGATGATATTGTGAGGTCCCTTTAGGATTAGTGGAAGGCTCAAATTTACATTAAATGTCATAGAAGTTCATTTGGTCGTGATCCTGTTGATAACGAGATTAAGTGGTGGTTAGAAGAACAATCAAGGTGGTGTGCTCATGGTCATAACTTTTTATCTATTGACCCAGACATAAACATGGTGTGATGGGGACAAATGAACTTGAATCTGCTAACGACTCTACACAATATCTCTATGTAGATGACAAAATTGCGGGGATAAAGTTAGTGAATATTAGTGAACATAGAATGGAAAACGCCTACCGGGATGTAGGCCTGCCTTCAAATTTTAAGGTACTTCACCCTGAAAACGACAAATGGTTATGAAACCAGTATGATGGGTGTGTGTCGGCCTTACATAAATGTCTCTTTTCTTGGATAGGTTTGATACTTTCCTTCAATGAATTTGATGTCTGGGTTCTAAACCATCAGTGGACTGCCCCTCCATAGCTACACTCCTTGAGTTCGCCCTATGTCAAAGCTTTATTATGCTAGTGTTAATACAAGAAAAATGTTTCCACATTGGCACTTGTCTTCCATCTCTTTCGTGTCCAAAAGACTTCTGTTAATTCTGAAAAGACTAAAGAGTTTATTTCTATTAGTCAGGGTTGAAAATGTTTGAACTGTACATGTGAAGTTATAAAGGTTTTGAGGATATGTACTATCTTATTGACCATAGTGACTACTCACCTAGGTACTCACATTCTTCTTCCCAAAAGCATACCCCCTATAAAATGCATGGATAAATTCCCTAATTTTTAAGGCAGGATCACTTTTTAGTGGGCCCTAGAACTTACATATATCAGCTCACTGAATTATTTGAAGAATGCCTGAAAAGGAGTCTCATAAAGTTTTGGAAAGATCTTGGCTATGTTGATGAGGTGGGTCCTTCTATTTCAAAATCACCAAAACAGAAGAAACGTTGTATCGAAAACTTATTAACTAGTTGAGGTGGCCACTAGGGAAGAGAGGAAAAACATTTTTGGTTAGGAGGGATTATTTACTAATTGTTTGAAAACTTGAAATTTATTTGAAAACTTGTTATTTTGTACATGTACTTGTTAAAAAAACTACATATATGTAGTAACCCTAGGCTGGTAGAGGTTGCTAGATGCTTTAATATTTCTGTGGGGTTAGAGCAAGCTCACAAGGGTGAGAAGCTTTATTTCAAGGTGCTTTCTCTTTGCATATCATATTTTCTCTAAAATCCATTTCCAACCCTAAGGTTGAAGTATTGATAGAGACTTATGAGCCTGGATTTAAGGTTTCTCAAAAATAACAATCGCACATCCTAATAATGGTAATGGGTCATTGTATCCTTATTTCCTAAGGAGACGGAGGTTATTACCTTAACTCATTCTCTGCATTATCTTTGACCAATACACGTCACTTCCCCTATTTTTCTATCTTGGATGAGTGGGGTGTTTCACGGGATATGTCATACCTTTGTGGTTTGTATGATCCTATCACTTCATATGGGTGATACGATCTCGTCACCCCTTGTGGGAGATATGATCATGTCGCTCATTATGGGCGATATGGTCTAATTGCCTCTTATGGGTCCTTACAAATATATCACTGCATGGTCCCTCAAGTACAAGGGCTTGGTAAATGGTGAAGTGCTTGATTCACTTTGAATCAAGAGAGCCTTGACTTGTAAGTAAATGCACTCAAATGAGCATGTCTGATGAGACTCTTAGTCCCTTATGCAAGGCGTTTAGATGATCATGTCTGAGGAGACTCTTAGTCGAGTCCATCAAGAGAGGCATTTAGATGAGCATGTATGAAGAGACTCTTAATCCCTTAAGCGATACATTTAGATGAGCATGTATGATGAGACTCTTAGTCGAGTCCCTTAGGCAAGGCACCTAGATGATTTTGTCTGATGAAAATCTTAGTCCCTCAGTTAGGGGCAATTCCCTCAATTAGGGACGAGTCCCTGAGTTAGGTGCACCGTAAGAGGGATCTGGGCATACCTCTAGGTGCCTCTTAAGTGTTACAATATCAATCAGTCAATTCTAGAGATGGCAAAACGCCAGTCAGTTATGAAAACGTAATCGTTTGGTTCGAAAAGAAGCGTGAGTGGCATTTGACGTTGCTTATGATAGTTTTCTTGGGGAAACTCAATCTTAACTTTTTTCTTATGCGTGTGTCTGACGTGTGAAATCTTTCTCACGTCTTGCAATGGTTGTGCTACCAAGCAAATTTGTTACTTGTGGTCTTTGTTTCCTTATGTCATACCCTAATTTTTGGCCCTCTTATAGTTTTACCCTAATAAGCTTATATCTCATTCTCATACACATGCATGCATATCATTTATTCTCTGTGTAGGATCAAGGTTCTTGATTGTATGAGTGCATGTTGAAGGTAGAGAAAAACATAAGAAATAGGGGGTTTGAATTGAGTTTTCAAAACATTTCCCTCTTGGAAAACAATTTGATAAAACTATGAAAGAATATAGAATGCTAGAAATTTAAAGAGACATATTCCGTTTTTCCAAGTTCACCTTCAACAAGGCTACATCTTTGCCACCCTCCTCGGATGATTTTGCCTTAGACAAGGACTTAATCCACTA